TGTAATTTGCAACAAAATGAAAGGTTTGGGACCATGGTCGCAATTTTCCCTAAAATAAATTAAAAGAAACATTTGCCTAGTGTCACAACAGTTCCGTGCCGCTTCGAATTTCTATTCTTTTTTTACAGCACCGCTTCGAATTTATAAGCAGGCATAATTAAATTTTCTTTTTTAAGTGTCCACTTTAGGGGTGGGCATTGGGTCGGGTCGGGCCGGGTTTGGCCCAAAACTGACCCGACCTGACCCGACATGCTCGGTTTTGAACTCTTTCACAACCCGACCCGACCCGACCCGACCCGACCCGGTTTCTAACCTAAACCAACCCAAACCGAATCAGGTCAGGTCGGGTCCAGGTGAATTTTTTTATTTTTTTTAAAACTAAAAACGTTAATAAAATTACTCTCACTGAGATCCAAACACAAGAAATTGCTTAGCTCTAAACATGCTCTAAGCAAATGGAATATGATTTTTTGAAGGCACATTGGATAGGGCACCATCTCAGAAAATCTAAGCCACGTCATCTTCATAAATATCTGCGGAAAGACACGAGTCAAATCCAATTCGAGAAACAATACAGTGAAAGTTGCATGTCTCAGCCGAAATTTATTGCCCCCGTAGCAAGTCAACCAAACTTTTAAAGAGAGCAAGACAGCCTCTAAAATATATGAAGACCAAGGTAACTAACCAAAGTAGTTAACATTTTCAACACCCTTCTTAATGATGATCAAAGCTGGACATTTGGGATCAATATGGAAGAGCTTTACCACATTAGGACTTGTCATTTAGTAGAAGCTAACATTATCTTCGAGCTTTGAAGCATCCACAAGTTCATCGTTGTCTGAACCCTGTAATATTTTGGGAAAATTAGTAAATACATCAAATTCTCTAAAATACTACAACAATTTGAACAACAATAGAAGTCATACCACCAAGCTCTCTAAATAACTCAAAACTATTTTTTCTCCTACAGCCAAGATGTGTTTTGAACTCCTCTGTCGTCACAGGATGTTATACAAAGCAGGACCAGTATCTTCTTCACCCAAGTAATCATAGTATCTCTACAATAACAACCTAAAGAAGAAAATTGTAATATATGAGTACAATCATTTTAAAGTACAGTACAAATGAATCGGCATAAGAGAAAGATAACTAACTTGATCTTTGACCACAACATCACCAACTCCAATATTATCTTGCCTAAAATGTCCAGAAATCAATCCAGAGCCATAATGAATTGAATAAAGACTTCCCTGAATGAAGGAAAATTTTGATTTTGTTGTGTAATTTTAAGATTCGCATCTCGACATTGTCAAAGAATTCTTAATCCCCCACAATCACGAAAATAGCATATAAGAGGCAAATATGTCAACATACCATTCTTTGTATATGTACTGGACTTGCTAGCCTTGAACTTGGAATGGAAATAGCAGGCAAGCTGCACGTATATTAACTTACTAAGAAACTGTACAGAATAATGAGACACGGCCATCTAAATATTAATTTTTTTTGACACGGAGCTGTGTCTCCATGTCGACATGGAGACACGGGGCGAAAAAACTGAGGTAACTCGTGATGAAGTCTTGAAAGAAAGAGATATAAACAGAGACAGAATCTTTAAGTTGGAGACTGATCTGGAAGCCAGCAAAAGTTGTGCAATGAGATGTCATTTGAGCAAGAGAATTATATCGGATAAAAGAGGCTACAGTCAAAGTGAGAAAAATAAAAATAAACAACAGACTGCCAAATGAAAAAGGAGAAAAAACACGTCAATAATAGAATTCATATTAGTGACCATCATCTTAAAAATTGAAAGAAAAGAACACCTTCATACATGAAATAAAGAAACAAGGAAAACTAATCAATAAGTCATATTATGCATCACTGAACTTCTTGTGGATAACAAGTAACTGAGAAAAAGGACTACAAGTAAACTTTCGATGTTTGAAGTCAAAGAACAAGCCCAGTTACCTCCTTTATACATAAAGATGATGGTATCTTCTTCAAAATAATTGAAAAGGAGGACATTTAAATGAAATTCAAGTCAAAACATCTTCCAAACACCATCTCGAATTCATAGAATGCGCTTGGAAGCCAAAGAGCACAAATTTTTCATTTTTTTGGAAAACTACCACAAAAGAAGTTTTGAAGAAGTATGGTAGTTTTCCACTTGAGTGCTTGACGGAATCAAGCTCTCACTGCAATATTTTCCCTTTAAAGATGGAAAATTGCAAAACCAGATAATGAACAATAAATCATCCGGTTCAAGTGTGGAAAGGAAGGCAGAAAAATGAACAGTGATGGAAGTATTCACTCTATTAAACACTAAATCCTACCTCGCTGCCATCATTTCTTCATTAATGCAGTATTCAAATTCAATATCATTCCCTCTCCTTCACTTCACGAGTACCTTGTTTCAAGGCTTGATTGACCATCTTAGTTTACCACTATCTTTAATAACTTCACAATATTTCAACCTTATAAAACTAAACACAGGTCAAACCAAATAATCAGCTCCAGAAATACAGAAAAACTAAATAACTCCTTCCATTTTGAACAACTTCGAATGGAAACAATATTACACAACTCCTTCCATTTGAAGTGTGTTAGATTACTTCAAGATTAAATTTGCACAAACTATCAATATGCACGTCCAACATTTCACTTATTTCCAATTTGGATTAATACAAAAATATATTTTATATGTAAGGGAGAAGAAAGTTACCTCCAGGTCTTAGGTACTTGATTTCAGTTTCACACCAGCATCTGAGGCTTCTGCTCCATTCTGCGGGAAAAATTTACCTCAAAAATTCAAAAAAGTCGAGAGCTTAAGAAAGTTACCGGCAAATTAGTGGATGGTAGCAAATTGTAATGATTTTTCAAACACCATAAAAATATACCTGTGAGGAAGTTGTAGTTTTATGAATATATAAATGAAAGAATTTCCTTGTACACAACATTTTCAGTACATGAGTAGTGCGAATTATCTGTGTTCGACGGTTTCAGTAAAACTTTTAGAGACTTGCTTGTTTTTGCTCTCGATAATACCATTTAAAGTCAACGTATTCAAGAAATCTTCTTGTAAGCTTTGCTCTGTTTTGTTAATTGTTTCATCAAAGCTATAATATGTGAAAATTTCACAAGGAATTTGATCGAGTAGAATTCTGTTAATATGATCAACACACTCATTTTTTAGCATAAGAATTACTCGATTTGCTAATGTATGTAAATTATCCACACATGCTTCTACTTCTGGAAAAACATAGTGTATCAATTGTTTCAAAGACGTTATTTCATCCTCAAATGGTAAAATGATACTATCTGGAAGCTTAATACAATTGCAACTATGCTTTTGCTCCATTCCATTTCTAATTCTAAGTAAGTAATCACAAAAGATGAGATCAAATTTTGCTCTCATATTCTGAACCAAAGGTAAATGTAAAAAAGAAGGCCACAACTTTGAGAATACCAAGCTAGCTTTCATTATATGCAGGTAGCTGTTAGGCCAATATGACTAACGATGATGTTATGAAGTTTTAATAACATAAATATATAACCAACAAAATAATGGACCATACTATGTGTACACAACATGGTACATAGGTGTGTACATAATGTGAGATGGGTGGGGCCCGAGCTACAGCAGCGCGAGCCCCACCCCTCTCACATTATATACACCCCTATGGATATTGCTATGTACACATAGCTATATCCCAAAATATTGAATTTAGTTCCATTATTCTGGTTTGTTTGGTGTTTGATTGAGTTTTGGTGCGAAATTGGAATTCAACCATAACAATCGACATCAGAGCAGTACATGAGCTGGGAAAGAAAATGAAAACTCTTGGTAAAAATATATTGAATTTAGTTCCATTATTCTGGTTTATTTGGTGTTTGATAGAGTTTTGGTGCGAAATTGGAATTCAACCATAAAATATTTATATTGCTCTAAAGGAGATAGCTTCTTATTTGGCGCTTGTTGGTCTCGAAGAAGGAAGATAGGTTAGCTGAAATACCTACCTGCCTTTCTTGGACTTATTTATATTGCTGTAAAGATAATAACTTTCTATTGGTGCTTGTTGGTCTCGGGAGACTGAGCTTGTTCAGTTAGCTAGAAAAAATAAATATTTAAGCTCTTGTCCTTACCATGTGTTTCGTTTATGAGAGTTCAGATACTGAAAATTTGAAGAAATTGCAGATAACTCTATTTGTACAAAAATGGTTGACAAAGTGGGTTACAAGACGCCACTTGGCGAAAATTTGAAGAAATTGCAGATAACTCTATTTGTACAAAAATGGTTGACAAAGTGGGTTACAAAACGCCACTTGGCCGCCAAGTGGCGTCTTGTAACCCATTTTTGTCAACCATTTTTGTAAATGTAGCATGGCTCCTATTACAATGACTTGTGCTTATATGCAACTAACGTAACATCCATTTTACCTAAATTTTTTGTGTTTTATACCTGTCTATGTGTCAATTAATGATTAGACATTATAAATACCATTATATATATTCATTTAAGATATCCAATCATTAATGAACACCTAGATTATTACTACTAAGTTGAATAACATTGAAATTTCACCCAGACTTGTTTCCCTCCAAATTTTTCATGTAGTGGCATTTTGCAACCTACTTTTGTCAACCATTTTTGTAAGTGTAGCATGGTTCCTATTACAATGACTTGTGCTTATATGCAACTAACGTAACATCCATTTTACCTAATTTTTTTTTTTTTTGTTCTTTATATATGTCTGTGTGTCAATTAATGATTAGATATTATAAATACCATTATATATCTTCATTTAAAATATTCAATCATTAATGGACACCAAGATTATTACTAGTAGGTAGAATAGCATTGAGATTTTACCTAGACTTGTTTCCCTCCAATTTTTTCATGTACCATCATGCTGCCACCAGCACTTGATTGTTTGTTTTACTGTTATAATCCCGAGTTAGTTTATTTGAGCATTTCATATTCTTTTTTCCTCATTCGCACGACTTACTCTCTCTAAAACACCTTTTTTTCTCATAGTCAAGGAATGAAGATATCACTTAATATAGAAAAAGCGGAAGAGATACTAACAACTTGAGCTCAATGTGAGTGAAAATTTGCATCAATAAGAGCGGTGGATCAAGTCTCTTTTTTTTACTAAAACACAAGTTCCTTTACTGAAAAATTGATTTAGTACTCTAATTTTGGTTCTTTTAATTTTTAACTATCTTAGTTATATTTTTCATTTTTTTCTTAAATGAAATTGAAATAATGGTAATTATTAAATTACATAATAACTTTATGTGTTTTCTTTGATACTAAGAACACTCCACGTGTCTATTACATCAATGATCTAGTTAACGAACAATCTTATATTAATGTACAAAAGAGAAAAATATAAATTTGAACTTACCAGTTGTACAACCACTTGCATTAATGGAAAGAACAGCCTGAATGGCAGGAGTATTGAAGATCCCAAACATGATTTGAGTCATTTTTTCACGATTAGTCTTGGGGTTAAGTAGAGTTTCTATCAAGAGAATTGAATGCTCTTTTGGAGCCACACGAAATTCTTTATAGAAGGTGTGATGCCAAATCTTCTTTATATCATCCTAATTGCTGATAATTTCATACTCAATTGAATACTTGAGAGTCAAAGTACCCCTCTTGGATTGAACCTCATCACCAACATAGGTATCTTTATGGACATGCCAACCATTACAACAGTGTGACGAGGGCACCCCACAATGCTCGGGAAAACAGCCCTGGAGCATCATCTCCAGCGAACCCAGCCTGATAATTATAAGATAATGATAACGATCATGAATCAATGCATAACTCTCTCATCTTACGAATTATACATATTTGAAGTACGAGAGTAATAAATAATTTGATGTCAGATGGTTAACTTGAATCTGACATCAAATTCTTTATTACTCCTGCACTTTAAATATATATCCTTCGTAAGATAAGATGAGAGAGTTATACATTGACTCATGATCGTTATCTTATAATTATCAACCTGAGTTCGCTGGAAATGATACTCCAAATGTTGTTTTCCCCGAGTATTGTGGGATAGGGCTGTCAATGGATTGAATTTTGATCCGAATCCGACGAAATTAATGGGAAATGGATTTAGGGTCTCAGTCCGATAACCCGATCAAGATCCGAATCTGATAATCCGTTAACTAAATTTATTATTGTAATTAATTTTACAATTTCAAAAAATAATAATTAATATGTAACAAATAATTTGATTTGCTAATGGAAATAATGAAATAAAATATTTATATTTAGAATTGAAATTCAATTTTACCTTATCCCACATCGAATGTCGATAGAAAACTAGAAGAGCGTCTCTCATTTAAAAATGAACATTATGATGGTAGAAGTCACTATTAAGCTTGCTAGGAAAAATAGGTGGGCCTCAAGTTAGTTCAAAATTTTTTTCCCTAATTTCTATTAATTTTGAATCGGATTATCGGATCGGATATCCGATAACATTGCAAATCCGATATGGATTTAACAATTAAATATCCGTTGAATTATTGTATCAAATCAGATATAGGCAGATCCGATCTATATCCGATCCATTTACAGCCCGATTGTGGGGTGCCCTCGTCACACTGCTGTAATGGTTGGCATGTCCATAAAGATGCTTGTTGGTGATGAAACTCAATCCAAGAGAGGTATTTTGACTCTCAAGTATCCAATTGAGCATGAAAGTGCCAACAATTAGGATGATATCGAAAAGATTTGGCATCACACCTTTTATAAAGAACTTCGTGTGACTCCAAAAGAGTATCCAATTCTCTTGATTGAATCTCTACTTAACCCCAAAGCCAATCGTGAAAAAATGACTCAAATCATGTTTGAGACTTTCAATACTCCTGCCATGTATGTTGCCATTCTGGCTGTTCTTTCCTTTTATGTCAATGATTGTACAACTCGTAAGTTCAATTTTATATTTTTTCTCTTTTGAACTCTAATATAAGATTCTTCGTTAACTAGATCATTGGTGTAATAGACGCGTAGAGTGTTCTCAACATCAAAGAAAACACATAAATTTGCTTATTTAGTGTATCAAACTAAATACACCTCTTCCCCCTTAAAAAAATAATTGTATTTAAAATATTACTTAAAATACACTTTCATACATACAAAATGATGTTATATTTCTATAATTTAATAATTACCATTATTCCAATTTATTTAAGAAAGTGATAGAAAATGAAAAATATGATTAAGATAGTTAAAAAAAAAAAA